CACCTGCCTGAGAGTTTGGTTAGATCCAGAATTCTGGGTGGGAATCCATTTTCCTTCAGAAGGCACTGCTTTTTCCATTATCTTCTAGTTTCCAACCCTACAGTTCCTGACCCTATCTATCTATGTGATTTGTACATATTCTTTTGTCTTTATAGTGCTCAAAATTTTCATGATGATGTGCCTTGGCATGGCTATTTTTAAATTAATTGTGCTGAATTCTTGGAGAGTCCTTTGAATTTGGAAACTTATGTCCTTCGGTTTTGAGAAATTTTATTTCATTTTGCATGATTTCTTCATGCCATCAAACAATAACCACCCACTATTCCTCCTTGTTACAGACATCTACAAACCTCTGGGTCATTCTGTCCCCTACATTCCCTGAAGATTTTAGATTCTGGATCATGGTCTCTTTTGCTATTACTACTCCCTCCTTACTTCATGATATTCTCAATATGCATAGATGCTCCTTCCACTACCTTTATCTGTTCCTTTACTCCTGTCTTCTAATGATGTCCTCTATCCTACCTCAGCTACTCCCTCCCACAGTGCCCACATCGAAGCAGCTCAATACAGCTAAAGGAAAAGCATATAACCATACTAACTGGGTACCACCTTAAATTATGACAACAAACACCAAATGGGTATGTTTTTCGTGCTGCCTGGCAATCCTAATAAGGCAGTATTTCCTTATTCAACTGATTTTTCTCCACTCTACTAGATGAATGCTATACCTTCTTTCTCCTTAAACATTCAACACCTCCCCCTTTTCATTTTTAGCTGACAGACTTCTTATTTAGCTAAAAACATAGAAGCAATCAGAAGAGAACTTCCACTTTCTTCCACTACCAAGCTACCACTGCACCAGCATTTGTGTCCATATAATTGCCACAGATGAACTGTCCATGCACTACTTTAGCCTGAGGTCAACATATCCATGTATGTCCTAGATCTCATTCTCTCTCACCTATTCAAGGACCTCACTTCTGAAATTGTCCCTTCTCTCTCTTTAATCATCAGTTTGCCTCTCTGTACTCCATCATTCCCATCAACTTACAAGCATGCTAGAATTAAAATGTTTGCCCACCTAAAAACAGAAAGGACTCTAACACTCATGCCCGCCCAGCTATAGCCCTATTACTCGGCTTTCCCTTATAACAATCCTTGAAACAAAATCACTATGACTATCTATATTGACTGTCATCAATTTCTCTCCTATTTTCTCTTGAACTCACTGAATGAAAACGGTTCTTGTCCAAGTCACCATTGACCTCCACATTTCCAAATCTAACAGTCTATTCTTAGTCCTCGTCAGTATTTATCACTTGGCTTTCCACTGTCCCGGAATCTTCTCCTATCTCGGAGGCAGAATACCATTTTCCCTCACAAGTTGGAAGATGTTGCTACACTTGCCTTTTCTACATGGGATAGCCCAGAGCTTGGATGTTGGTCCTCTTCTCTATCTACATTTACTGTCTGCATCTCTATCTAGTCTCAGAGTTTGTTTTTTTTTTTTTTGTATTTATTATTTTTTTTAGAGAGAGGAAGTGAAAGAGAAACACCGATTTGTTCCACTTATTTATGCATTCATTGATTGCTTCTTGTATGTTCCCTGAACAGAGATTGAACCAGCAGCCTTGATGTATTGGGATGACACTCTAACCACCTGAGCTACCTGGCCAGGGCCTAGTCTCACAGCTTTAAAATAAAAATTTGGGAGTCATCAGCATATGGGTGGTATCTCCAGTCCCAATCTCTCTCTTAAATGCCAGACTTGTATATCCAACTGCCTACCCAATATCACCACTTGGATATCTATTAGGAAACTCAAAATGAACAAGGTCAAAATTGAACTCTATTTTCTCCACAAACCTGCTCTTATTCCAGTGTTCCCAAATTAATAAATGGCAACTCATTCTTCCAACATCGAGCCCCAAATCAACGGTGCCCTCTTACACTATTGTTCCTTTGGCCCTATTTCTTCCTCAGTACTCATTTGTCTTCACCCTGTATTACAATTTTTGTTGTTTTGTCTCTTTCCACTTACAAAGGAGATCTTTAAGGGTAGGGGCCTGCCTTATTTGCTTGAATCCAGAACACCTAGCACAGTGTATGTTGGATTATTTGTATAAAGAGGCAGTGAAATGAAATGAATCCTGAACAGGATCAGATCCCTCCGCAGAAAAAGATTTTGAAGCAGGAAAGCATATTTTATACTGGTTCCTTAGTACGAGTCAAGCTAGGTACTTAGTAACAACTCCAAAAGCTTCTTCCTCACTCTACATTTCAAACATCAGTCACCTGAAAGCTTGCTCTGGGTCCCAGACTGATGGAGTAGCCACCACCTGAAGCACCAACAGTCACCAGTAAAGAGAGTGGTAAATTACACACCAGAAGGTATAGCATCATTCCTGTACACATTTCATTGACCTAAAGCCGTGGTCAGCAAACTGCTGCTCTCGAGCCACATGCGGCTCTTTGAACCCTTGAGTGTGGCTCTTCCTAAGCCTTAGGAGTACCCTAATTAAGTTAATAACAATGTACCTACCTATATAGTTTAAGTTTAAAAAATTTGGCTCTCAAAAGAAATTTCAATCGTTGTACTGTTGATATTTGGCTCTGTTGACTAATGAGTTTGCCGACCACTGACCTAGAGGAACTCACAAGGCCATACCCAAACCCAACTTCAAGGGGGCAAGCAAGTACGTTACCACATGTCCAGGAGGCAGAAACCAAAAATATCTGATGGACAGCACCATATCCTTTAAAAAAAAAGCTTCTAGTTCTAAGCAACAAGATTTTAACACCTGATTTGTATTCCTTATCTGCAAAAATAAACACCACCACTAAACCACACACTTGCAAAATACTATCTATGGGTCTTTAGGAATGTAACTTCACCAGTTAGGCCTGCCCCTTTCATCACTCAGGAGTCAGAGTTAAGCAAAGAAGATAAGTATAGGTGACAGGAAAGTGCTGAGCCCAAACGTGCTAGACATGTTCAATGTCAAAAGTCAGGGAAAGGCTTGAATGGGTAAGAAAACCATGTTCAGTTATGCAGAGGTGAAGAAAGGAGGGGAACCTTCAGCCAACTTCTTTTATCAAAGGTATAAAACAGCCAGGTCTTGGGGTTCCTTGCACTACCCCTTGTCCGGAGACCAACGAGCTTCACTCACACTACTCAGTGGAAGATTCAGAGTTTGACTAGTAAAGTTAACCAACATTTATCTTTTTAGCATAAAAACACTACTTTAAAAATAACTGCACACTGCCATGTTTTTAGAAACAGGGAAGGCAGCATTATTTTAGAGATGGATTTCACCGGGAAGTTCTCCCTCCCGCCCCCCCCCCCCCAACGTCTCAAAAACTCAAGATTCCTACACTTAAGATGATGGGATGAACCCCAACTCTACAGAGAGCCTGGCTTTAACAGATGGCTGTTCCAAGTTCTAAAGTGCCCTTTCATTCTATGTAAAATTCAAATACTTTCTAACAGTGAAACTGTCTGCCAGAAACGTTTAGGACCTTAGGGTGGATTGGAGATGGTTATCATAAGCAGCTAAACACTTGGAACTGTCAAGTCCACAAGGAATTCCATTGAAGGGCAGAGAAGTTCAAACAATCTCACCTGCCAAATTAAAAGCAAACAAGGACTTGCAAATGCAACCATGGGAATCTAGCCTCACCTCCCCATTTATTCATTCAACAAACACGCATTAGTTGCAGGGAAGGAATGCCAGGAAGGAAGAGAGGAACATGGTTTTAAGATTTAGTTCTTGCTCTCCATTAATTTGGTTTATTTAAAAAAAAATGCACAAAAACAACAGATCAGTGAGCAAACAGTTAAAAATACGATGCCGTAATCACCATCACAAGGATATAGAAAAAGCAGTTCCAACGTCTACGTTCAAAATCTCCTTTCAAGGGAACAATACCATATTTGCTTTGCTAAGTGGCTAAAATAGAGAAAAAGCAAACCAAAAAACCCCCCAAAAAACCCTCTTCTGGTTTAATGGCAGTTTTGCAGTGCGCCAAAGCCCCTTTCTTTCTCTCACCCTCCCTCCCTCCGTCTCAATGGTCTCTGCCACAACCCCTCCATCATTCCAACCTTCGCATTCCGCAGGCGGTCCCAGGCCAGCTCCATCACAAACAATGCCCAGACTATCAAGGTCACAAGGAGCCCAAAGGCACCAGGAGCAGAAGTCGAAAACCGATTTTCCTTTCTCCAAAGGGTGCGGGCCCCTCCCCGATATCACCCTCCCCAAAGCGAGGCACCCCGGAGTTGTGTCTCTAGGCTCAGGGGCCTGGGGCCCACCGCTTTCGGGGTTCCCGAGCCTCTTTTTCCTATCCATCCAGTTCGTGTTCCCTCCTGCACCCTAATGACCTCCAACGCCCCCAAACCTGAGCTCCCCATTGTGGAGCGAGGGAGGGTCGCGAAGAGGCTGGGGGCCGGGGGAGGCGAGGACATGCGCAATAGGGAAGATGCTGTCAGTGTCTGTAGGGGGTGGGGAGGGGGGTCCTCTTTATTTAGGGAAGCCTCTGTCAAGGGGACAAGCTCTAGGGGAGACTTCCGATTTGGGGGCATTATACATGAGCCGTTTCTAGGGAAACCCCTGTGGGGTTTCTAATTAGGGGCGTTATTGTGTGTGTGGGGAGGGGGGGAGGGGGCTCGTCTCTCTAGCGGTTTCTGAGGGCAATAATCTATGGGGCAGGCAAGTGGCCCATCCGTAGAGAAGGCACCATGGAGATTGTCTACAGAAAACCCTGCTGGGGGAAACGTTCTATGGGGTGGGATGTCCCGCTGGGGTCCTTCACAAGGAGCCGTTGTGGGAGGCTCTACACAGGACACGGGTCCCGGGGAAACGTTCCTCTGAGAGCCGTTTAGGGAAAAAGCATCCGCGTGGAAGCCATGCCCGGCCACACCCCGAGCTTTGAGGCGTCGTCGGACCCCAACAACCCGCAATCCCCTGCCGGGCCGCCCTCTCAGCCTCGGTCCCGCGTACCTGACGGAGGGCGACCCGCGGCCGGAGCCGCCGGCAGACCACGCGCGGGGCAACCCCAGCCGGTGCGGGGGGTACACGTCCATGGCGGCAGGCGGCGGCAGCGGAGGAGAACCTGGCCGCTGCGAGGGTCGTGCAGGCCCGCGGGGCGGGCTCCAGGGCCTCTGCAGCCGGGCGGGGGCGGCGGGGCGTGCCGGGTGGGCGGGGGGCGCGGCGCGCGGAGGCACGTCGGGGGCGGGGGCGGAGTCGGACGTTGGCTTGAAAGCGGCGTTGGGGGCGTGGCCACTGGCTGGGCGCGGGGCGGGGCGGGGCGGGGCGGGCGCCCGGGCGCAGTGCCGCGCCCTCCTGAACTGGCGAGCGGTCCCTGCGGGGCGCTGGGGTCGCCCGTACTCGGGGCGAGGGCCGCCACGCCGCCGCTCTGCCCTGTCTTCAGGCCCCGCACTACGGAGTGGGACTCTGCGGCGCCTGCAGCCGCGCACACGGGCGCGCCCGGGGGTGGAGCCTCGCCCCGCCCCGCCCCGTTGAGCGGGCTTCGGCTTCCCTCAAAGCTTTCCTCCGCTGCAGCGGGATCCCGGGGCAGCGCCGGGCGCTGGGCACCTCCTGAACGGCCTGCTCGCTTCCCGCTGCCGACCAATTGCACACCCTCCCTTCGAACACCTAGCCGACCTCAGGTTGGTAGTGGGCCCAGCTCTGCGCTGGGTATGGGCGTGAGAGGCTCATAAGGTCACAAAGGATCCCGACCTTTTTCTGTGCAGATCTTGGCTTGACGCGTTCCCGACTGCAGAGCCATAATCAAGAAACCTAATCCCACCGAGTCTCGGTCTTTTTGTGTGTAAAGCAGGGGAAATACCTCGTTGATAGTGTTGCCAGGAGTATATGCAGGACGTAGTGAATGATTTTGTCATGTGTTGACTTTGTCAGGATACCTTAAATATCCTATATTAATATTTTTGCAATCAATTACAAAAAATATTAGAGCTGTTTTTCCACCAACGTAGTTGGCGCTTAAATGACTTAAATGGAATACCAGCTGAAAATCCTACCTCCGCAAGTAAAAGATCTGGACAATCCCTATGGTGTCTCCAGCAGGTTTAACTGAAGGAGGACCAAAAGAAGGGACTAGAAATTAAAAGTACTTATTTTTCATATTCAAGGAAGGAAGAGACTTTTGGCTCAAGTTCAAGATATTTAGAGAAAACTTCACATCAGTATACAGACAGAATCAGCCAATTACCGACAGCCTCACTACAGTGGCTCTGCTTCTGAAAGTCAGCCGGACAACAGCTTCGCCCCGGTAACTCAGCTTCTGAAAGTTAGTAAATCAATCGCGGGCCCCAGGTTTCTGAAAGTGAGCCAATCATTGGCAGCTCCACGCTTCCGGGCACCAGCCAATCAGCAAGTGCCTCACTCCAGGGACCAGGCTTCTGAAAGTTAGCCGGTCCTCATGGTGACCTGACAACAGTGACCACACTAACAGAGCCTCCAGTCGGCCCATCGCTGACTCTCCCGATTCTGAACCCGCCAATTCCTGAACGCTAGGCTTCCCCAAACCCATAAGATCAGTTCTGGTTTTGCTTAGGGGAGGGTGCCTTACAAGTACAGCTTTCTTTTGCTGACCGACGAGAAATTAATCTTTTTTTTTTCTTTTAATCATACTGAGTTCAATATTCCCCCACCTTGTCAAGTCCTAGGTTCGCAACCCTTCCAAGATTCAATTCTCGCCGTTATGAGTTTGGACTTGTGACAAGCGCAGTGTCGAAGCCATGAGATTTTTAAAAGACAACTTTTTCAATTCTTGTGACAGCTGCTATTACTTTTTTTTTTTTTTTTTTTTACAACTCTATGGATATGTTTTTAGAACGTTTTCATCACCCTTTTAGTAGTCATTCTACCATTTCTTCCCAACCATCCCAGCCTTGGGCAGTCACTAGTCTTTCTCTCTACATATGGCTTTGTCTATTCTAAACATTTCATAGAACAGAATCATGCAATATGTGGTCCTTTGTGACTGACTTTTTTTCATTTGGCATAATTTTTGCAAGTTTCATTTATGTTGTAGCATATACCAGAATTTCTTTTTTTGCCCCAGAATTTCATTTTTTAAGGTTGAATAATATTCCATTGCATGGATATCTCTTTTTTTGTTTGTTTAAAGTATTACATATATCTCCTTTTTCCCAATTGACACCCCCCCACTCACACCCCCAGGACAAGCCCCCACCTCCCCAGTGTCTGTGTCCATTGGTTATGCTAATATGCATGCATACAAGTCTCTGAGGTTGGACTGTCTGTTCAGTGTTTCTTTGTCTCTGGATCTATTTTTTTAAATGTTTTATTGATTTTTTACAGAGAGGAAGGGAGAGGGATAGAGAGTTAGAAACATCGATGAGAGAGAAACATCGATCAGCTGCCTCCTGCACACCCCTTACTGGGGATGTGCCCGCAATCAAGGTACATGCCCTTGACTGGAATCGAACCTGGGACCCTTCAGTCTGCAGTCCGACGCTCTATCCACTGAGCCAAACCAGTCAGGGCTCTTTTCCCATTTAATTGCCTTAGCAACCTTGTTGAAAATTGTTACCTCTTTTTTGTTTGAATCCCAAAATGCCAAAATGCAAGTGTGAATTTCATGATGAATTTTCTGAACAGTGGACATTTATTAAATGAGAAAAAACCCCTTTGAAACTCTTTGTGCAGTGTGCAAGTGTTCATTCAATATTGAAAATGATAGAAAGTCAGATAAAAACCAGCATATATTAACAGCTAGGAATAAAATGTGTGATTTCTTGAACTTGTATCAAAGTAAGCAATAAAATAATTTTGATTAAGGGAAATTTAGCCTAGCCAGTTTTGCTCTGTGGTTAGAGTGCTGGCCACTCTAGACCAGTAAAGGGTCTTGGGTTTTCTTCTGGTCAAGGGCACTTACCTCGGTTGCAGGCTCCTTGGCCCCTGTACAATGATGTTTCTCTCTCTCTGTCTCTCCCCCTCCCTTCCACTCTCTAAAAATCAATGGGGCCTGGCCGGTGTGGCTCAGTGGACCTATGAACCAGGAGGTCTCGGTTCAATTCCTGATCATGGTACATACCTGGGTTGCGTGCTTGATCCCCAGTGTGCGGTGTGTAGGAGGCAGCCAATCGATGATTCTCTCTCATAATTGATGTTTCCATCTCTCTCTCCCCCTCTCCTTTCCTCCTGAAATCAATAAAAAAATATTTTTAAAAAATCAATGGGAAAAATATCCTCAGGTGAGAAATTTAGATGAGAAGATAAAATAATCATAGCAGAGGCTGCCCACACTGTATATTGTCATTCTTTTAGCTCAGATAACTCTTTATTTTGTCCTTTTCTAATCCTTACCTGAGGATATGTTTTTCATTAATTTGAGAGAGAGAGAGATAAATCGCCGACTACAGGATTAAACCCACAGCCTGGGTATGTGCCCTGACCGGGAATGGAACCCAAGACCCTTTGGTGCCCAGGACGATACTCACCACTGAGTGACCGGCCAGGCTTCAGATGACTCTTTGAATGTACTGCTACGAGAAGTATTTTCTAATTCCAAATTTGCAAGCAAAATTCCAAATGCCACGACAAAATTACTGCAATAATTTAAAATGTAATAACTCCATTTCCTGTTGCAGTCATTATCAAAGCTCAAAATGGCTCATCTTTGTATGGTATCATCATGGATGCAAGTAATTACAATGCAGAAAAATGTTCGCTTTGCTTTGCAATACTCTTGTGAAAAAGCTCTTTTATAAGGCTATATTGAATAAAATCCCTTCCAGATGAGACTTCAGAAACAAGAGTAAATTTTTGCAGACTTTCTTTTTATTTATTGGTTGATTTTAGAGAGAGAGGGAGAGAAACATCAATTTGTTGTTCCACTTATTTATGCATTCATTGGCTGATTCTTGTATGTGTCCTGACTGGGGATCAAATCCATAGCCTTGGTGTTTTGGGATGGCGCTCTAACCAACTGAGCTACACGACCAGCACCAGAAACTTTCTTATTGAGTTAGGAATTGGGAAAATTGTACTGCTTTTAGTGGAGATAATACAAATGTTAGTAGATGTTTGCATAAGGTGCAGACTTGTTTATTCAAAGTTGCAGTATAACATGAATGATTCTTTGAAAGCTATTGGCTGTCCTGCTTGTATTCTGTATAATGCTGCTCAAAGAGCATCTGATGTCCTTCCTACTGACTTTGATGTAATTGTCATGAAATTGTCCTCTTACACCAGCACTTACACTGTTCAAACCCAAGTGATTTTGTTGCTATCCATTATCCTCCATTTCTCTTGCCTTCAAAAACCTAGCCAGGTTAGCTGCCCTAGCCAGTTAGTGCCCTAGCTAGTTTGGCTCAGTGGATAGAGCGTCAGCCTGCAGACCAAAGGGTCCCGCGTTCGATTTTGGTCAATGGCACATACCTCCCTCTTTTCTCTTGGGCCCTGGTTGGGGCTCGTGCAGGAGGCAACCAATCAACGTGTTTCTCTCACATGGGTATTTCTCTATCTTTCTCTTTCTCTTCCACTCTCTCTAAAAATCAATGGAAAAATATCCTTGGGTGAGGATTAAAAACAAACAAACAAATAAAAAAAACCCACCTGTTAGTTCTCTTTAACAAATGGAGTTGAGAGAACACTCAGTGTATTTGAAGCACTGAAATCATACTTTACTTCTAAAGAAAAGGCCTCCAAAATTCTTATTGACTCTTAAAATACATTAAAGGAAACTGATTTCTTTCTTGTTTTGTAGTTTACAATTATCTCTTTAAAATAGGGTTATGCAAACTGGAAGAAGAGAAAACCGGGTTATTGAAGCAACTCCATTGCTGCACCTGTTGAATGCATTGAAGGAATGATTGATGTAAAATTTATTCCTTTAAGTATTAAGGCAATTCTTAATAAGGCCATTGCTTATGAGCATGAAAAAATATTCTGACTTGAAGTGGATGATTATTACAACAATTGTCTTGACTAACTTTTAAAGTGGATTTCATCTCATGAAGAATTTAGATTCTTCTTTTTAATCTTTTTTTAAAAAATTGATTTCAGAGAGGAAAGGAGAGGGAGAAAGAGAAAGAAACATCAATGATGAGAGAAAACACCAATTGGCTGCCTCCTGCATGCCCACACTGGGGATGGAGCCCGCAACCTGGGCATGTGCCCTGACTGAG